TGTGTCTGCGTACAGGGTCATCTTTTCATGCTATCTCCCAGACACACTGATCAGTTGGATATTTCTAAGTCTCTGAAGCAACAATAACAAAACCAAATTCAGTGCTTAAAACAAAAGTTGGTAACTTGAGTCTTCTTTTTTTTTTTTTTTTTTTTAAGACAAGAGCTAAGTGTGGAAAAATGAAAGCCTTATTTGGTGAGAACCAATTTCACAAAGGGATTTAATGTTGTCAAAAAGTCTAGAAGCCCAGCCTTCTGCTTTGCTGTATTTGATGCTCTTCTTGGCTACTCAGAAAATGAGATGGCGGCCTCAGAAATCAGAACCATCTTTTCCAAAAACTTTTGTGACCACATCTCCTCTTTCAATTAACAGCACTTTAACCCTTCCACAGAAAACCAGTTGGTGACAAAGCCACATCACTGCCCTCAGGGAAAATACACTTTGGGAAGGCACATGCTACAAAGATATCATAATGACACGGACTGTCCGGACTTGTTCCCTGCAGAAACTGAGCATTTAAAACACTTCATCTTGAATGCTGAAAACACAGTCTCTCTAAATTCTCATGTTTAATTAAAATTAGTAAATGATTCTGTAGTGATGTGATCAAAGGAAGAGATCTTGGTGAGCAGATCCAGGCTGACCAGCCACAGGCCAAAGTGCAATGGGGAAAAATAAGAAGCTGAGAAGGGAGTTCTCACATACTGGCCACAAAAGCTCTATGGACAGGTGTGCCTGAGAAATTTGGGGAAACTGGAGTCTTCCATGAGGAGGCTCTGCTTCATAGGGAATCTGCCATGGGTGACTCAAATTCACTGAAGGCAGGGGTGGTTTGAGAAGTGAGCAAGGGAGGAGGATAGGGTTGGTTTTCAAAGAGAGGTCATGAAGAATTAAACTTGGGTCACAGGGCTGAGTATAAGAAAGGCACAATGAAAGCAAAGAAAATTAAGGAAGTAGCCACAGCAGAGGCAACAGGGTGAGGTTGGGACGGCAAAGAGAAGCACACTGCTTCAAGCCTCTCACTTAGTTCTTCCAAGAGCCTTGAGGAAGCCTGGGCAGAGCTCAGGGTGGGGAGACAGGAGCTCCAGGTTTTCTGTGTTAGGAAAAATCTCTTACCCTCCTGGAATATTACTTTTCTTGACCACAAAAATCAAGAGATTATATGTCTCAAAAAAAAAAAAATACAAAAGAACAGATTGGATGAGACCGTCACACTTCTGCCTGCCCTGCTAGGCCCAAAAGCTGATTCTAATTATCGGATTCTTTCATTTGTAAAGGTTTTTATTTAGAGCCGACAGTAGCGTCTTCTCAGTGTTAAGAAGTACTGCTGAGTCCTCAGAGCCAGCAGGATCCAGGACGCCAGGAGAACACGGCCCATAGAATCAACTGAACAGGTCTCACAGGGACCAAAGCAGCAACAACAGAGCCCGCATGAGTCTGTGCTAGGCCCTCTGCGTACTGCTGTTGGGGGACTCCTAACAGCAAGGGTGGGCGTGTCTGTGACTCTTCTGCCTGTTTGTAGGACCTTTCTTACTTCTACTGGGTTTCCTTACCCAGCCTTGACATGAAGGTTTATGCACAGTCTTATTGCATATTGTTAGGATGGGTTTCGTTGATGTCTCTGGCAGCCCTTCTCTGTTCTGAAGGATAACAGAGGACCAATGGATCTCGGGGAGAGAATAGGTGGGGAAGGGACTAGGAAGAGGGAAAGAAGAGGAGGCTGCAGTCAGATGAATTAAAGAAGAATGAATTGAGAGAGAGAGTGAGAGAGAAATACTGTGAAGGCCAGGGATGGCTCAGTGAGAAAGGTACTTCCGTCAAGCCCAATAATCTATGTTCAGTTCCCAGAACTCATATAGCAGAAGGAGAGAACTGACTCCTGGAAATTGTCCTCTGACCTCCACATGCATGTTGTGACATGGCCCACCTCGCACCAAATCCACACAATAGATAGATAAATGCAGAAAAAAAAATATCAAGAAACACTGTTGACAGGCTGAGGTACACTGAGAAGATTAGGTGGCTGTGGTCGTGAAGAGAATATCTCAGTGGGAAAAGTGGGCTGTTGGCAGTTGTTGGGTGAGAGAAGAAAGAGGTTTGTACAAGGTATTTCCACACAGCTGCTCATGCTTTTGAATTTGGAGTCACTGCACACAGCAAGAGAAAGTCTTAAGCATGCCCAGGCTTTATGAATGGGGAAAAATTTAAGACTCAAATGGCAATTGTGTCTCCAATGTTTGGCATGTTTTACTGAGAAACAGGTCAGAGGAGGCTGGGGTGTACGAAGCTCAGTGTTATTTGCCTGGCACGCCTGAGGTCAATCCCCTGGATCCAAAACCAAACAGAAATACCAACAAACAAACGAGCCAAGCAAATGTCCAGATCGAAGCCTGGTTAGCACTAAAACACACCAAACGCTGTCTGACCTCTGTGGTTGGAGGAGTCTAGAATTTAGGAGGAGCATCCCAGAATACACTTGAGCATGCCTTTGAAGCTTTGTTAGCAGACATTCCAGCCTCATCAGCCTTCACCTCACAGCCTGGCTAAGAAAGCCTTACATTCTTGCTCGCTGGACTAATGACTTTGATTCTATCTTAATAAAAAAGTACTTTATCTTTTAGTATTCACGATTATTTCCGCAGCTTAAAAGAAAAAAAAAAAAAGGTTTTAAAGATATTTATTTATTTGTGGGGCACTGCAGGGGGTGGGGTCAGAGGACAACTTGTCAGTCCTTTTCCTCCTTCACCACCTGAATTCCAGGACAGAGCTCAGTTGTCAAGTTCTGGGGGTGACTGTCTCTCCCAGCCGAGCCATCGCGTTGGCATAAACAACCACTTCCTTTAAAAATAACTCACTACTTGGAGTTAACATTCCCGTTTTTAAAACTTTCTCAAGCACTCAAATAGAAACCAAAATATCCTGAGATAATTTTTTTTTTTTTTTTACCTAATAATTTAAAATGAGTGTCTCTTATGAAATAGAAAATTAAGGGAGAAGAGTTGGCTGGAATAACCACACACATTCCAAAGTCAGAACAGTGTCTAAAGCGAGATGCAGAAAGACGGTGGCCCCTAACCAACTTCATGACGTTCAACCTTTGACCCACCCAGTGGGTTCTTACAGAAGATGGGAGACTGGGCCTTGGGAAAGTACTCTTGGAGAGAGATGTCAATGTACTCTGAGCTTTTTCACACATGAGAAGGAGTGTCTCCTTTAGTTCAAGAGGAAGGGGCTTGAAAAGTAGCTTCGACTTAACTTAAGCCTAGAGAATTAGAGAAACAAGACCCAGGGACACAAGTGGGTCCCTGCAAAAGGGGAAAGCTGTTTCCTGGACTGTGAATTCTGGTGTTTATGGGCACAGGTGACTTGCCACCAGGGTCCATGGAATTGGTATGAGTAGGCAAAAGGACTGTTTTGGGTTCCTCTGATTTTCCACTCAAGGAGAAGGGCAGGAAAAGCTCAGCATCTTGAAATCAGAGGCATCACCTGATGGGCAGAGGCAGAGGGAGAGACTGGGACCATCTATCTCTTCTTAAAGGTGCATCAGTTGAGACATTCCCCTAAGAACTGGCTTTGGTAGGAATGCAGGCAATGGGAAATAGGACGGAAGAATTTAGAAGATGCTTCTGTTCCTCTTTTCCCCTGCCCACTCTAGGATGGCCATATTATATAACATATAATATGTATGTAGAGAGAGAAAGATTCATTTTGCCAGTTCTGTTCCTCTAGAGAACCCTGACTGGCACAGAGGGACTTCATAATTCCATGACAGGTGTCACAGTCATTCAGAGTCAGGTTTGAGGGTTTGAACATGCATTTTCTCACACAATCCTCACAAAGGTACTTTGAACCCGGTGGTGCTCATTCACTCCCCACAAAGGAAAACATGCAACTCTGAGGAGCAACTTGTCTAAGAACAGATGGCAAGGGGCAGGATCTGTAGTCAGGTTTTCAGGCTCAGCTGCCTCTGGATGATCCCGTGGCTTTTCTTTCCTAGGTGGATGTCTAAGGTTAATGTTTACCATGGGTACTCGGGTGGAGTAATCACCAGCCAATAGGGTATCTTTGTAAGAAAAGTACAAGTTGTTCTTTTAAGACACTCTGCCTACCAGGAAAATGTCAAAATGATTTCTCTCTCTCTCTCTCTCTCTCTCTCTCTCTCTTGTGTGTGTGTGTGTGTGTGTGTGTGTGTGTGTGCATGTGTGTGTGTGTTTGTGTGAGTATGTATGCATGAACACATGTCCCTGGAGATCAGAGGTCAACCTTGTGTACCACAGACCTTGTTTTTTTTTTTTTTTTTTTTTTTTTAGATAGAGTATCTCATGGCCTGGACTAATGTACTAGGCTAGGCTGGATTCCCAGCAAGCTCTAGGCATCCTCCTGTCAAGTTTCTCTAGGCCTAGGATTACAGGCATGAATCTGGCTCTTTATGTGGGTTTGGGGATCAAACTCAAGTCTTCATGATTGCACAAGCATTTCATTGACTGACTGAGCTCTCCAGGCCTCACAGGTGGCCATTCTTAAGAAAATAATTATTCATCTCTGTGGTAACCTTTCACAGTAAAGGTGTAGACCTAGAGATGGTCCCTCCCCACCTAAATGCAATCATCACTTGCACTGTAGGCCTATCGCCAGGCAACCAAAATCCATCAGGCAGCTCATTTTCTCTGTGACATGTTCTCCAGCCTCAGAAAGCAGCCGGATTGTGAACAATGGTTTCTCCCTCACATCTTTTGAAGTCAGGCATCTCTATTCACAGAAAGAGCCATGCCCCCCGTGGGAGACAGCGTGAATAGAAGAAACAGGGTCTCTAACATCCCGTTTCTCATTGCACGCCTCACAGAATACATCCACTTCATAGCTGTGAGAAAGTTCAGGTTGAAATCCAGAGGCACAAATCTAAGCTCTCCCAGCAGCCCCGAGGGAGGCAAACAGTCGAAAGAAAATGTCAGTGAAGGAAGGTGGTGGGAGGAAATCAAAGTGAAGGACTCACTCAATACTTACTGCTCTCACTGACTGGGTTGCAGATGTTACGAACGATCCTTTTCTTCACCTTTTTCAGCTCGTCGAAGTTATGGACCGTCAGTTTTTTCTCCGCTGTCCCCGTGATCTGGACCAGCTGCTGATCGTCCACGTCCCCGATGCCCACCGAGTAGATGTCCACTCCTTTGTGTCTCAGCTGCTCGGCAGCCTGGGCCACCTCGTCTTGGGACCGGCCATCCGTGAGGACCAGCAGCACCTGAGGTGTACCTGCGTTGATCCTGCTGCCTGCGTCTGGCTGGAAATAGTACCTCACCTGCCTGAGTGCATCCCCAATGTGGGTGTATCCGAAGATCTGCTGGATATTCTCAATCTGCGTGGCTACCGCCTTTTCCCCCGTGAACGCGCCCAGCAGAAACTCTGGTCTGTAGCTGTCGCTGAACTGTGCCACTCCTATGCGCGCCCTGTTGAGGCTGACATCAAAGTCTTTAATGACTGATGCCAGAAACTCCTTCATCTTCTGGAAGTCATTCGGATGGATGCTGTTTGAGCCGTCCATGAGGAAAACAAGGTCAACCTTCTCAATTTCACAATCTGCAGAGAGGAAAGGAAATGAGATAAGACCAGGCGACTAGTCTTTCTTCAACCTGTCAGGAGTAAATCAGACATCTGCAGCTCTACAGAAAGAGTATTTTGAAAGTGGTTGCTTATCTCATGCTACTCTGTGGTCACATTAATTGAAGAATAAATAAATACAAATGATCCTTCCATAAAGGCAATGGGAGTCAGGCACTAACCCATCCTTTCCTTGTTTCTCTTGGCTTGCTCGGGTTGGTCTTACACCATTTTCTGTTTTTGACATGCCAGAAAACTGACAACCGTGCTACATGAGAGCTTTTCTCATCTCTCATCATGTGCAGTCTTACCCTAACCTTTCCAGAAGGCCGGGGACAGCAGTAGCACAGCAAACAACATTAACACGTATCCACATAGAGATTCAAATAGAAGCAGATGGTCTGTATTATTGTCTTGGCCTCTCTGGTCCAGTTGGTCCAATAAATTTTTTTTTCTGGTTTATTAGGGCAAATTGTTAGGGCCGTGCTTTCCGCTCTCCATCTGACCTCCTTCTATCAGCTTCCTCTCTCTGCTGTGTGCAGGCAAAAATACCAGCTTAAGAAAAAATGTTTTTGAGCACGTAATGCAATTTAGTCAGAGATTATTCCATTGTATTGTTGTAACAGTTCCAAAACAAACAGAAGGGAGGCTGTTGCCAATAGATAAGCTATGCCTAGCATAGGCTCGTCTGCCTCCTTTAGCTTTCTGCTAAGCCCTGTTACTTCCTTGAATTCACTTAATTCTTTCTTTCTTTCTTTCTTTCTTTCTTTCTTTCTTTCTTTCTTTCTTTCTTTCTTTCTTTTTTTCTTAACAGGGTTTCTCTGTGTAGCCTTGGCTGTCCTGGAACTCACTCTGTAGACCAGGCTTGCCTTGAACTCACAGCTGGGATTACAGTTGGCTGCAACTTAATTTTTTAAATTATATGTGTGTGTGTGTGTGTGTGTGTGTAGTGTATGTACATTAATATGCATTAATGTATATTAATATGCATCAATGCATAGGTGTGTGGGTATGTATACCCACTTACAAAAGGCCAGAGGAGGACATCACGTGCTCTGACTTCCTCTTTCCACCTTTGTCCCTTAAGACATGATCTCAGTTGGGCATGGTGGCCCATGCCTTTACTCCCAGCACTCAGGGAGGCAGAAGCAGTTGGATCGCTCTGTGACAGCCAAGGCTACACAGAGAAAACCTGTCTTGGAAAACCAAACCAAACCAAACAACCCCCCCCCCAAATAACAACAACAACAACAACAAAAAAAAAAAAAAACAGGATCTCACTGAACCAGGAGCTAGGTTGGTGCCAGGGAGTCCCAGTGACCCTCCTGTCTCAGTGTAGTCTCAGAAAGGGTAAAAGGTGGCAGATTCCCTACAGTCTGGGTAATCGAGAGAAAAGCAGATGAGAAAATAAATCCTTCAGAAACTGATCAACTCATCGCCTCTCTGCTTCACATTCATATCTGGTAGCCTTTCTTGCTTAATGGGGAATATTCAGTCCAAAAGTGCAGTTGTCAGCTCTCCCAGGGAATGAGAGAAGGAGAGATCAAATTTTAGGCATTTGCCAACAAGGAAGCAACGATTTTTCCTTGTTCCTAATAACAAGAAGAAAGATGTTAGTTTGCCAGAGAAAAAGTTAGTGGCTACATTTTAAGGAGGCAAAGCTCACAAGAAACAAACCAACCAACCCAGAAAAGCTAAATAATTTTAAGAAAGAACTGCACCCACTTGTTGGGTGAACCAACAGAGATCCCACTAACAAAAATATTTATTCATTTATTTAGAGCACAAATTTGCTTGTATGTTTTCTAGTCCTCCTTTTTGGAAAGCAAATTCTGTCTCTTTTTGAGAAGGACCTTAGGAAAAAAAAAAAAGGGTGAGAATTGTCTTTCACTCTTTTGGTGGAGGGAAGGTGAGCAGGATCGTGCTACACAGCAGGCCTAGCCCAAAACTCATGATGTAACCTAGGACGGCCTCTGACTGCCTTGGCCTCCAAGTGCTGAGACTACAGGTATGACACCCCACGCCTCGCAAGACAAAACGTGTCCAATGGCAGTTGCAAGGATGAACAATGAATGAGCGAGCACCCATGCACGCGCACAGTCACACCATCTCTAGCTGCCCAAGTGGAGGGACGGGCACAGCAAAGCCGACTGCCCCCTGTCATAGAACTCCCATAGAGACTGGACAGGAGTCTGGAATGCCTCAGTCTGCATTTTCACTGAACATGTTTGGCCTGGAGAATAGAGCAACTTCAGGCCACGGGCGATGGCCCTTAGGAGAAGGCAGAGTTTGACTTTGGGTAGAAAGACATCTAAGTAAACCTATGTTCTAATAAAGTCTTTTCAAAAGCCTCGGAGCTCCCGGTGTTAAAAAAAAAAAGTCTGTGTGGGAGTAAGGAGAAGGGTTTTTTTTTAAAGTTTTTCTCCTGGGGAGGAAGGTAAATGAAATATCCTTGAGAGCCTGTCCAACTCTGAGATTCTATGATGTGGGAAAGCCACTTCGTAATATTGGTTCCTTCTCTCCCCCCCAGGACAACTTTCTCCCAAATGTGACTGGCTGGTGTCTCACTCATTTGTCCCCTTTTCAATAATTAGGGAAAACTTAACTGACAGGCCTTACCGACTTTTGAAGAGTTACAGACACTGTCTGACACGTTGGAAAAGATCCCTTTCAGGCCTCCAAAAGTCTCTACAAAGTAGTACTTGTCACTCGACCCTGCCATGGCCAAGAGCTCCCAGGTGTTTGCGCCAGCAATCCCCACCGCCAGGACAAGGATGCCTTTGTCCCTCAGGGCCTTGGCGGTGGCGTTGAGCTTCTCTGCATCATGAGATTCCCCGTCAGTGATCACAATGAGGACTTGAGGGACTCCCCTGTGCAGACGGCTGCCCCGGGCTTCAGTAAACATGTGGTCGGAGAAGGCCAGGGCCTCAGCAGTGTAGGTGTTACCACCCATAGGCTGGTCTTTCTGGAGCATGGAAATCACCTCCGACTTCGTGCCTAGTTCATCCAGATAAAACAGCACTTTTGGGTCATCAGCATACTTCAGAGCTCCAAACCGGACCTGATTCTTGCCCACGTCCGCCTTTTTCACCAGGCCAATCATAAAGTCCTTCATGATATTATATTCTTGATCGTCAATGCTGCCGGAGCTATCGATGACAAACACAACGTCCAAGACTTCAATCCGCTTGCATTCTGAAAAGAGAGGCAAACATCCGAGATTCAGTGTGCGAGGGCCCCCACCTTCCACTTACGTGCCTGGGGTTTCCTCTCTGTAGGAACATGCTAGGCATCAGACTTTAACTCTCTGGATAACAGAGAGAGCTGCCCTATTGTGCTGCCAGGACTTAGCAGTGTTCACGTGAGCTTTCAAAACAAGGTGAGTGTGGAGTGAGACCTACTACAGAGGTAAAAGACAGAATGGCCATCCTAGAGTCATCAGGAGTACAGTCTCAACCTGTAGGCCAAAGAAGAGAAAATCATAACTGTAAAAATGTTCCCATATGACTGGTCCCTGCCACATATGCTTCTATTTATACAAGTTTATTTTTATACTATAGGGATCTTGAGATGTTATTAGGATTCCAATGACAAAACAACAACAAAAAGAATCTGATACTATTGTATTTGTATCGTAGTTCTATGTTGGCTGGTTTCTGAGCTTACATTTCTTCCTTTTTGACTTTCTTGAAATAGTGATTTTTGTTATTCGGACTCATAAAAAGTAGGTCAGTTCTCATTTAGCGAATGTAGTTTTCCTAACGTGACACTCCTGTGAACTTGTTAAGCCTGAGGTCAGCTCTCGGGCAAAGCAGCGGATGAAAGACCTAATTCCTAATTTATCTAGAGAAGCAGATCCCCCCATGAGTTCCAAAACTCAACTCATCTTTTCTGGAGAAGCGGAGTCATGAGATGGTCATTTGGTCTTTATGTTGGTAATACATGCTCTCTCTGGGTCTTAAGAAAAGCGCAATCCAAATCTTTGTTAGCTCATGCATTCTGGAGAAACACAACTGTGAGAAAGTACTCCCTCAGTGCCCAGATGGCTTTCACATTTCCTTCTTTTGGGAGCCACTTGCCAGCCCTGAGGTGGACTGTTGAGAACACAAGAGCCAGTGTACTCAACGCTGACTGGAGGACATATGTCAGAGCCAAAAATCAAATTCCCAAGAAAGGCTGACTCCACTGAAGAACTAGGTCCCTCCAACCATCTGCTGGTCATGAAGCTTGCTTCAATTACTCAGGGACTCAAGGGGAAGTTTGCTCAGCATTGGAGCTCTTCAAAGAGCTTGTACTTATTATGGATGGCATTGACAGGAAACAGAAACCAGATGTAGCTCTCCTTCTACCATACACAGATGACAACCGCCAAAACCCATGGTGGGAGCTCAGTGTAACTGTTGCTAGACCAGCAAGATAATGTCTCTTCTCCCTCAAAAGTCTTACATTTTCAGAATGCTCCTGTCGTTAAGCCCTGGGGGCACAGAGCAATTTAGCTGCTTATATTTGCTGGTCCTTGTGGGTTTTTTGGGGGGGGAGGTGAGATGCTGGGGTTCAGTCCATGACCTTGAGAGTGCTCTACCACTGAGCTGCACCTCCAGCCTGGAGCTTTGGTTTGCACACTCTCATTACTCTGCAGTATTATAGGAAGAGCGGGGAGTGTGCCATTTCCTTCTCAGAGAGTATCTATTGCTCAAGTTCCCTCACTACTGTCATGTTTTGCAAGATATAGTAGACAGTTTTCACAGACATTTCATTTGATCAAATAGATGCTAAGACAAATAGGACTCTTTCTGCTCAGGAGGTTGTGTGTTTCTCTACCAACTGTCTCAGCAGCCCATATGTGGTCCCATGGTACAGGACATATAGGGTTGGGCCTCTCATGGAAAAGCAGGGCCAACCATGGTGGGTGTCATGATCTAACATTGTCAATGGGATCATGCTGAAACTACACTCACAGATGAAGTAACTGCCTTGTGGAACTCCCACCTCTGCTCTGTTTTGCTTTGCTTTCCTTTCCTTCCTCCTTGAAGTACTTCCTCAATAGACCACTTCCGCAAGAGCTCTTGACAAACCCCCTCCTTGCAGGGAACCTGACAGGACACCTGGTACCATCACTTTTATTAAAGGAATAGTTAATGACATTAGACATATTATTTGTCTGCAAATAGGAAAACTATAGGCCAAAACTGTTCCTTTGTGGATTTATGCTTTTTTTATGGTGGCAGGGGAGGCACTGAGCCAAGATCTTACACTCTTTCCCAGACTAGCCTGAAACTCATTTTTGTAGCCCAGGCTGGCCTCGAACTCATGGCCATTTTCCTGCCTCAGCTTGCATATTGAGATTACAGGCATGAGCCACCATACCCAGCTGTTAACTCAAAAGGCCAAAGGCACAAAAACAAACATTCCAAGAAAGAAGTTTAGACCATTCTAATACACTTCTGTTTAATTCAAGCAACAATAAGTATTTGGTTTTCCCTGTGTGATTGTGCCTGTCCTTACCTTCCCGGGGACTGCATATTCCCAGAACGAGGTCATCTTCGATATGCTGCAGAATGTCAAAATTCTCAACATAGAAAACCATCTCTGGTTTCCCACTGATCTCCTCGAGCTGGGTGACATTGGAGCCAAATACTCCCACGGAGTAGATAATCACACCTTCTTTCCGAAGGGCCACTGCTGGGTCCCTTACTATGTCCTGTGCCTCACCGTCTGTGATGAGAATGAGGAACTTCCTGACGTTGGGCCGAGCCCCCTTCTCAGGACTGAAATACTGAGACACAAAGGTGAGGGCGCTGCCTGTCAAGGTTGTTTCTCCTATGTGAGTCATTCGGTCAATGGCGTTGGAAATGTCACTTTGAGACAAGTACGTGTTGAGTTGAAACTCCTCCTTGTTTTCGTGGCTGAACTGGACCACGCCAATTTGCACCCGGTCCACCCCGATCTGAGATTTGCTCACCAGGTTCTTCATAAACACCTTCATCTTGTTGAAGTTCTCAGGCCCGATGCTGCCGGAACTGTCCACCAGAAACATGATATCTGCTTTCATGTCTCGGCAGGCTGCATGGGAGAAACTGGGATGTATATTCACATAATTGCACATTAGAAAAAAGAAAGAGGAGGGAGAAAGAAGGAGGGAGAGAGGAAGAGGGAGGAAGGAGGAGGGAGGAGGGAGGAAAGAGAAGAAAAAAGAAGAAAGAAAGAAAGAGAAGAAGAAGAAGAAGAAGAAGAAGAAGAAGAAGAAGAAGAAGAAGAAGAAGAAG